GTGTTAGTGTAGTAGTAGTAGTAGTAGTAGTAGTAGTAGTAGTGGTAGTAGTGTTAGTGTTGTAGTAGTAGTAGTAGTAGTAGTAGTAGCAGGAGTAGTAGTAGTAGTAGTAGCAGGAGTAGTAGTAGTAGTAGTAGTAGTAGTAGTAGTAGTAGTAGGCGTAGTAGCAGTAGCAGTCGTAGTAGCATGAAGCCACACCCCGACGCCATGCATCCCGACACCCGGGAGGCTGTCTAACACCGAGGAGCCCATTTTGTCCAACTGCGTGTTGACAGCCTCCGCCTTGGGGGTCCAGGGTTTGGGGTTTAGGGTTTATTGTTTAGGGTTTAGGGCTTAGGGTTTAGGCAGGTGACGCGCGAGGTACGCCTAAATCCGAGACTGCCTCCTGCTCAAGGCAGCCACGAAAGTTGCGTGTGGCCTTCCTAAACCCTGAACCCTTGAAAGCCAGCCAAGCCATAGAAAAGCTAGCATGCAAAAAGGGCCTCAGCCATTGTAAAAGGGTCTGCGGCTCCATGAAAGTATGATGATATCTAGGAGCCCGAACGAATAGTATCGGTAATTCGTCCGACCCCTATACTGGCAGGAAATCACCACCGAGTCTTCGGGACGAGACCTAAGAAGTTCGACCAATGCCTGGCAGGCTGCAAAGAATGAACCGGCATTTGGGCTTGATGTAGCCTCGAATCATACAGGCTTAGTCATACAGGGCTCAGCAAAAGGATTCTCAAACCCTCAACCCTCAACCCGCTTAGTCAAAAAACACCTAGATGGGGGTATGCCACGGGGCTCTCTGGGAAGCCCAAAGGCCCGTATCAAGGCTGCAGGCCCTGTAAACCAGCCATGTGGATCCGACAATATCCGTAGCGCCCTCTACTGTCTGGTGCTTAGTAGGGAATGGGGGAATGGATTACAGGGACTACTGTACCCAGAGAACCCAATACCCCTTAATTAAGGAATATGCCTTAAATCATAATATTAAGGCCCTTATAATTTAAGGTATTTTCCTTAATTAAGGGGTATTGGGTTCTCTGGGTAAGGGACCTTCAGGGACTGTCATAGGGATCCACTCCCCCATTCCCTACTAAGCATCAGACAGTCTAGGCTAGGCGCTAGGTAGGTGATCTCCAGCATAGAGACACCAGCTGTTTCTCCCTTTGTCTCAGAACCTTGATTCGGGAACCTTACTGTCAGAGCTCGAGGAGGGTGAAGTCATAATTACAAGTACAATATACCCCTAAACCCCTATTCTACCCAGAGACTCCAATATCCCTTAATTAATCCTGCTATAATTTAAGGTATATATTCCTTAATTAAGGGATATTGGAGTCTCTGGGTAGATATGCATGACGGCCTACATTCTGTAGGGGATGCTGGGCCCCTTGGTGTGGGGTGAGATGAACCTCGAATCGCCAAGCCCCCGACGTCTTCCATGTCCTTGAGGAGCTGCGTCACCAGGGACCCGTATGTCAGCAGAAAGAGGTCTGCGTTGACCTGCTCCGTTACTTTGAAGATAATGTCCTATACCCTAAACCCTAAACCCTAAACCCTAAACCCTAAACCCTAAACCCTAAACCTTAAGCTGCTTCAGGTTCCACTAGGGCTGCTTCACGGCTTGAAGCCCATGGGTCGTCTGCGCTTTGCACTGTAAAGCCTGATGAGTCCCAGACCGCCCACCCCCCACACACTCAACCCCAAACGGCACTGTTACTACGAATCTCACTCTAACGATGATTTTTTGTTACCATTACTATTCCCATATTATGATGATCAGGACGCTGCTCACTCTACGGTGAGGGTCATCGTACCGCGCTGACGTTTTCATTCGTCTCGTGACTCTCACCGCGGGAGAGGCCGCAAACGCAGAAACCCCAAGCCCTAAACCCTAGACCCTAAACCCTAAACCCTAAACAGGAAGCCCCCATGTTCAGCCTTCTCCATCCGGCTGAAGGCCTGGTCCCCGAGCTTGCCATACTTATCGATGGCCGGCCGCGACATTTCGAAGACCTCCGACCTTCGGACTCCTCCAAGGGCTCCAGAGACTCCAATATCCCTTGATTAATCCCTAAACCCTAAACCCTAAACCCTAAACCCTTAAATCCTATTAGGGATCCTACTATAATTTAAGGTACATTCCTGAGTGTAAAGGAATATTGGAGTCTCTGGAGTTTTGCCTACGGCACACTTGGGAGGTCCATGGTATCTGGTATCTGCCTTTGAGTCGGATGCTGCTGAGGTTTTGGGGGGTAGTTGAAGGCCCGTGTTAAAGGCTGTGTCAGCTTGTGCTCAGTTGCCTGACAAAGGAAGCGGCTCGATCCGATCATCGCGGGACGCGCAGGCATCTTGCAACAGCAATACGCCCCCCTAAACCCGAAAACATAGACCCTAGACCCTTAACCCTAAACCGAAAACCCCTCAACCCTAAAGATCCGGTGATGGGAAAATCATGCGCCGAAGCCCGGCTTGAAGTCTTCGCAGTACCTGCTTAGGGTTAAGGCTTAGGATCCGACCCTGCGCCCTCAAACCTCAACTCCAAACTCTAGAACTTTAGACCTCTAAAGAACCTGAAAAACCATAAACCCTACAGACAACACCCTTGGTGTGGGGCATGCATCAGGGCCGTCTGCCCTCTGTCATCGACCTCTGCGAAGTTATGTCGGAGAGCTGTCAAAGGCTTCGAGCTTTGAAGCTTGGAGCTACGGGGTTCGGGCTTAGGGTGTTGAAGTTTAGGGCTCCGGGTTTAGGGTTTAGGGCTTTGAAGTTTAGGGTTTAGGGCATTGAAGTTTAAAGCTTGTTTTGTGTCGGGTTCGTGGCTGTAGGCCTGCACAGCGGAAGCGCTTTTCCCACCAAGAGTGGACTGTGCACGACAGTCCGGTCTTGGACATTGAGGGCACGGTAGCAGCCGTGGTGCGCGGTGCGGAACTTAAGTCATGTAAGTTCCTAGGGAAATTATATGTGGTAGACAAGATAGCAAAGAACCATACAGTGCATTCCCCTCTTATGGTAACTTGAGGGAGCTCTTTCACAAGAGTCCGGAAACACACTGCACGAGTTTCCCGGTCAACTGATTTGATCGCCCCCGCCGAGATTGTAAGAAAGCAGTCAGGCCCATTCCACGTAAACAAGCATTGTATGTTTGTACGCATGTATGTATCCATGCGTGCAGGCAGGCAGGCAGGCAGGCAGGCAGGCAGGCAGGCAGGGAGGGAGGGAGGGAGGGAGGGAGGGAGGGTGGGAGGGAGGGATGTAACAGGGATGTATGTGCGCATGTGGGTATGTGCATACGTACGTATGTATGCATGTATATATGTGTATGTGTATAGTATGTTTTCAAATGTGTGTGTATACATATACATATATATATATATATGTATGTAAGTACATATGTATGTTATATATATATATATGTATATATATGCATATATGCATATATATATATATATATATACATATATACATATATATATATATATGTATATATATATACTCATATTACAGAAACACACACACACACACACGCACGCACGCACCCCTCCGTCCATCCATCCATCCATCCATCCATCCATCCATCTGTCTGTCTCGTTGTATGCATGCGTGAATGCATGCACGGACAGACGGACAGACGGATGGATGGGTGGAAGGATGGACGGACGGGTTGGTAGATGGACAGATGCATCGATGGAACAATGAATAGATAATAGATGCATAGATGTGCGGATGGATGGATGGATGGATAGATGGATGGATGGTACGATGGTTTTCTATACTGTTGGCATACACACACACCCTAGAAGTATCACGAGTAAGCCGTGAACCATCTTGGCGATCCCTGCATATAATTTGTTGTTGCAATTAGAGCATATTGGGCTCGATGGCAAGACCTGGCTCAAAAAGGTGTAACAGATACAATAAACACGATTGCTAGCCTTCGAAGCGACATGAGGAGGGAGGCCCAAAACACGGCTTCCCTTCTAGATACCCGCTTGCCGGAAGACCCGTTGAAGACCCTGCTTGGCAGCGACTCCCAATGAGGTCAGTCGTAAGCTGCAAGCACCACCGCAAACCCGAATGCTTTCAAAGCACCGGAAAGGCTGTCCACATCTTAGACCCCGCTACCAAAGCGCCTGGTCGACGGCGCCTCGGTGCCGCAGCAACAGCTCCAGGATAGGGTTGGGCGCTGCGGTTCCCTCCTCTGGCCGGCTCAGGGTTTAGGGTGATGGGCTTCGTTTTCAAGCTCTCCGGCGCACAAGACATGGGGCGGAAAGCTGGGAACCCTAAACAATCAACCTCAAGCTTTGAAGACGTCGATTTCAAGGTTTCGGGAGGGATCGCAGAGGGTCCGTGTCCACATAGTCGATGCGAGCCGCCCACATCATCAGCGATTGCCGTCCTCGGTCGTCCGCAACCTGAAACACACTAGGATCATTCGGGGTTTAGGGTGTTGGGGTTAACCCAAAAATCTCGGAACCCAAACTGAAATAGTTCCCTGCTTGGCTCTTCGTGGGTCCTGCAGGAGTGACTGAAGCCAGGCTGAACAGATCAGGAGGTAAATACTGTAGGTAGGGGCCTTAATCATCAGACTAGGGCTTTGGGGTATATTCTACTATAGTTGTGATAAGGAACCCTCAAGAATCTTACTTTGTAACTGTCTTGGCTTCTAAATTGGGGCTTCGCAAGGTGGTTGCTAAGGTCTTGTAGGGTGTTTATAGGTCTCCCTTTCTTAGTACGTCGGCCGCATGAGTACACAAGGCCCCAGGATGCGAAGCAGCCATTTGAAGGGCTTTAGGGTGTAGGGTTTAGGCTAGGACCTTGTCTGTTCAAAGGCCTTTTCGGCCTCAGTGCGCGCCTCGTTGACATTGCACCGGGCCTGCGGCAAAGGATGGCTGCAAGCCCATCATCGGGGACTGGCGAAACGATTCCTAGGCAAGCTGATAAAATCGAAACGTCGCACCTGCAGATCACGTGGACAGATACTTTGACATCTCCGCTGGCCATCTTTGAGAGTGACAGTGACCCACCACTCCCCCCTCTAACTTCAGGCGACAAAGCCCCAACCTCCAGTAGAAGTTCCACACATGGAACGGAGCTGTGGGCACAGGCCTTGCGCAAAGGGTCAGTGTTTGGCTTCAGCGCTTCAAGGATTCAGGCGCGCGGGTTCCGACCCTTCAGGCGGTTGACTGGCTAGAGGCATGTCCGGCCGAGGTGCATCAAGTGCGAGCACGGCTCAAAGGCTTGATTGAGCTAGATACCGGCTTCAATTCGGTTTAGGGTTTAGGGTTTAGGGTTTAGGGTTTAGGGTTTAGGCTTCAATGGTATCTGAAAACGACCGACATGATTCGTCGGCACGTTACTGCAAGCAACTGCTGCCCTCTATGAACAGCATTGGTAGTCCAACGGTGCGTTGCAACCACTTCTGCTTCGGCTGGGAGCAAGAACTTTCCCTGTTGAACGGATGTTTGTACTGTTGCAAACGTTGATTTCCAAATCATGTTTACTGGTAGCATGTTTATTTCTCTCATCTTATGTTTCTTGGCTATCTTCCATGCTTCTTTGGCTATCTTCGATGCTTCTGATGGTCTCATGGTGGTATTCGTTCAGCAGGCGGCGTTACAGGGCTTCAGAGCAACAGCTGCATGATACCGAATGATACTGCTGATGGACAAAATCCTGCATGACCCAAATATAGTATAGTACCATAAATCCCATAGTTTAGGTATATAAGGTCATGCAGGATTTTGTCCATCAACCGTAAGATGAAAAAGGAACGCTGGGGGTGGCCCGGACGTGCCGAGGCGTAGGCGGCCGCGAGGCAGGATACCCCTTTGCTGCCGACCTCTTCAGTTAAGGGTTTAGGGTTTAGGG